TATCAAAACCAAACTCGACGGACGTCAATGGAAAGTTGTACCGTAGTAGCTATTAAACATTTAAGTAAATAACATTATATAATGATAACACATATATACTTAATATTTAGTCATTAATGACATACTCACGCCGCCACACATGCCCGTCTGGCCTGCAGTCTTGCGGCTACCGCGCTCCCACGGCTCTAGATGTTTTACTTGATAGTAGATCTCATCTACTACCTCATGATATGTCTTCAACTTGAATAGGTGCACTGGGGACAATTTTAGAAATTAATAAATGTCAACAAAGTATTTTCTCTAACAGGCATTAACGAGAGTAAAGTAAAATAATACGTATAATGTAGATCCAAACTCCTGTATGTTGTTATGTTTGCTTACCTACCTTTGAAGTAGCTAGAACCTTGAATGTTTGCTAATATTAAAGGATTCAGATTCATTGTCTGCTCATTACCCCATATTGGTAATATGTTATGCTGTTTGCTCGTTTTCACGGGTTTTTGTTGATTAAACTCTGGAATGCAAATGTTTCGGGTAAAAATGGAACACCATACAAGAACAAAAACTTGAAATAAATCATACCTTCAGTTTCAGCCATAGTAATATCAATTATTAATACTTAACAGATTGGGAAACAAGGTGCCATAAGTACCGTTAGAATATTTTGCCTCTTAGCAAAACAACGCCTGTAATTATAGTTTATTGCATGCACAAAATACCCCAATTTGACATGAGACATACAAAAAAAATAACCAATATTTTTAGCTTGGATGCTTGCTCTTTAAGCCATGTCTTCATTTCATTCTGAATCAAGTTATAATAAGATTTTATTGCACACTAATTCACAATAGGTTGGTGCATCACATTACGTAGTTTTTAGGAGAATTTGACGGTCACTTGAACCAGCAAACAGTTGGAGATACTATCTCTATGTGCCTAAGCAGACAAACACCTTATCTTGAGATTCCCATCACATCAATAATAAAAGAGCAGCAATCCGCCGATGGACAAGTCCCCGCATTAACTCCCAAAATTAACCAAAGGCAGAACTTTTTACACGTGGTAGAGCCATGCTGCATATTAGTAGTTTAGTTGTAGCACGAATGGGTCGGCTCGACCGGGGAAGGACCACGCTCTCACGGAATACTAGCGTAAAATAGCAGCTTAACACTGCTGTTTCGTATAGTGAGTGTAGAGAACCGGAAACCCTTTTTACTGGGAAAGGGGATTTCCATCTTAGTCCTCACGGGTGACAACGCATCTGCAGTTTGATTCTTTATTGAGGATAGATGTAGATGTCTATGGGTCACAGCATTTACTTACCATCAGGTGGGCTGTGAGCTCGTTTGTCACCCTATCCTATAAAAAAAATTTTCATTGATTTCAGGGCACTCTATGCTGCTTCAGCCAGCATCGGCATTCTCGGTATCGACATATCGAATGACGTACAGTTCCGCGATCAAGGAAAGGGAAGGCTAAATTGACCTTTAAAATGCTTGGAGTGCACGCTTGCAACTTTAAAAAGCGCAAGTTGGCCCCACATAGAGTACTGTTCTCATTTCTGGATCGGGAGACCCCAGTACCAGCTCCATCCACTTGATCGCCGACGACCGGATTCTTTCTGATCGGCTCTTATTCTGTTCGGCAGTTGTTGATGGGCGATGGTCGACATTTATTATTAGAACAATTTGTTTTAATGTGGTCAAAACCTCGGAGTAAAATCGCAATATAAATAATAGTATTACTTACTTTACTTAAATGTTGTCAGTTTGGTTTGAATAGAGTCATCATCATCATCATTACAGCCCTTCACAAGTCCACTGCTGAACATAGGCCTCCCCCCAAAGAATGCCACAAAGCACGGTCCTGAGCCACCTGCATCCATCGACTGACTTCCTGCATTGCCACTTCAGCTTACTAATCCGTTGGGCTATGTCGGTCACTCTGGTTCTACTGCGGATATCCTCATTTCTGAGTTTATCACGCAAAGAAACTCAGAGCATAGCCCTCTCCATAGCTCGCTGAGCGACCTTGAGCTTCCTCATCCGGGCAGCAGTGAAGGACCACGTCTCAGTTCCGTATGTCACGCACTGGGTGTACAGTCTCGTTTTCAAGTTTTGAGGTATACCTGACGAGAAGATGTGCCGTAATTTCCCGAACGCTGCCCAGCCGAGTTGAATCCGTCGATTGACCTCTCGGTCGAAGTTGGACTTACCTCTCGTCTTAAGTCTCCCATTAACACCGTATATTGGGTTTTGGAGAAATGCATGGCTCTAGAGATATCCTCATACATTTCCTCCACCTCCTGATCGGGGTGTGCCGAGGTTGGTGCCTAAACCTGTATAACCTTCAGCGAATACCGTTTGGTGATTCTGAGTATAAGGTACGCAACCCTCGTCGACACACTCTCAATCTTTACAACGTTGTTAACGAGAGACTTGTGGACGATAAATCCGACACCTCCTTGGGACAGATGGTCGCCCTCCCGGTAATAGAGCAAGTTGCCGGATTCGAGGATTACCGTGTCCTCCCCCTCTCTTCGGACTTCGGATAATTCTATAATATGCCAGCGTAACTTGTTTATCTCTTCTTCCAGCTCCACAATCTTCTCGTTAGTCCTCAGGGTGCGTGCGTTGTATGTTGCCAGGTCGAGTCGTCGTAGGTGGCAACCGAACCTCCACCGGAGATTCTTAGCACCCCCTGCCCCGCCGTTACCATGGTCGCCACCGTAGCCAGGAATAGCGGGGCTGCCGGGGACTGGGGGCCGTCTCTTCGCAACTTTCATCATGGGGGGTATATTGCCATAGTTGCCACGCCTGGCGAGTGGGTTGGCAACCGCAGTTTTTTATTGTATTTTTGCCGTTACCAGGAAGATGCTGCTGCCCATCCCCTGCCTGTTTCCCTTTGTCGCCTTTTACGACACCCACGGGAAGATATGGGGTAGTGGGTATTCTTAACCGCCACTACACGGCAAATAGATTACTACTCATTAATTCCATTCAAGATATTAACAATGATAAAGTTCCTGATACTCTTCAAAAGTCTATTAGCTGATGAGAAATTCTTCCGACCATTATATACCTTTATGTCTGGTGTTCAAGATATATAAAAATTAAAACAACGTGATATTAATCAATTGTGCAAACGTAAACAAACCCTATGTGAATCAATGTGAAAATGAATTTTTGATGAATGTATCGTTCGTGAATCGTGACATTTCTAATTTTTAAAGATAACTATACATTATGACTCATAGATAAGTAGCAAGCTAACTTCAGGCTCGGAAGGGCTAGAACCCAGAGCCGTAAAGCCAGTTATAAAAAATATGTGCATACCTACTTGGTACTTGTATACGTTTTTAAAAACACAAACTCGACAATAAACATATTATAAAATACGCTGTTTTTGGATATTATATTACCATTCCATCAAGTTAGAAGCTTCGTTGAATTCCTAACTTTGTAGTTTTCTACGGCTCCGTGGCGCAGTGGCTTAGCATTGAGTTGCGGTACCGAGGCCCGCGGGTTCGAATCCTGCACGGGGCTAAAAAATAGTTCCGTATCTGGATCTGTTGCTTTATGTAATTTATGCAATATGTAACCCACCTATATAGAAAAATCCTAGTATGGGATGTAATGTTTTTTAAAAGAAAAAGAAGTAATAGAAGAATAAGGCAAGTTATGCCTCAGTTTAAAACACTTTTTTTCCCCCTACTAGCTAAGGAGAAACAGCTAGCGAACTTGTTGGAAGTTTTTGTTCCGTTTGAGGATGTTATTAAGTATTGATGGACAAAGTGCTGCTGTTTCCATCTATGGTTGTACATGAAGGAAGTCAATGGATGCAAGTAGCCCTGGGCCATGTTTTGTCTGTCATTAGGTAAGGCTTATATTCAGCAGAAGATAAATAAAGGCATGTAATAATGATGATAATAGTTGATAGTTCATCATTCATCATCATTACCGCCCTTCACAAGTCCACTACTGAACATAGGCCTCCCCCAAGGAAAAATTTAAATCATGCTGTGAAAAAATTGTCTAATAAGTAACAAAAAATAGCACTCATTGCGATCACTCACAAACTCAAGTTGTAAATAAATTTCTGGAAAACAAGTCTCCTGTTAAAAAAAACAATGCGTTTGTCTTATTGTTTACTCTGCCGTCTTATTACTATCATATGGCCGAAAGTACCATGTGCTCTTGTGATATAGTCTAAGGCTTATTTTTGTTTGAAACTGTTCGAAACCGTCATCTTACTAATTAGACGTCTTCAGATCGACTTTACTTTTACATTTGTATAACATTAAATAATATTTAACATTTATAAATATCAATGAATCATAAACCTTATTTTTTTTCTAAATTAAGGTTCTTGATTGTTTGATATTTACAAATGTTATAATTAGGTGAAAATTTAATTTAATAAAAACCAAAGTTTCCATCATTTATATAAGTAGGTACAGCTATTAGCTGTACCTACTTATATAAATGATTTTTTTATAAAACAAAAAATAGTACAAAAGGTTTGTAATCTCTGCATAAAAAAAGTCACTTATTCTCAATTTCAAAGAAAACACGTAGTTACCCACTAAACACAAGTATCCTTCCGTTTTTAATGTCAACTAAACTTAATTAGGTCTAAACAAGTGAAAAAAGCATAAAAAAGAAAATTATTTTTACACATGGCTGATGGCACAATAGGCGTGTGTGTAACTTCTGTGGCATGAAACATTTGTTCTAAATGTTGCTAAAAGTTGTCGAAAATCGGTGCCGCAATGAATCCGTTAAAGATATTCAACTAAAATCAGTTTTTCACATTCATTCAGGAGACCTCTGAAAATGAATGTAGCACCACCACTTGTTTGAACAACTGACATCGACTGAGGATAAAAGGTTTGTGTTGATAATTTATGAATTTGAGAGAATAATAACAAGTAATTTGAAATAAAAATAAGTGTTTATTCCGACTTTATAAAACTTAAAACTAAATTGCTGCTAAGCCGCTTATTGATAATATAGCTCCAAGTTCATTCCATCGTGGATTTCATCTGTTATAGCTATAAGGAAATAAATTTTATACAAGAAATAATTGTAAAAAAATAAGAACTGCTTAGTAGAATTTTTAAATAATAGTTAAATTCTTTACTTTTTTATAATAAAACTAGCTGACCTGACAAATGTTGTTTGCCATAATATACATTATTTCTAGGAAATATTTTTATTTTTAAAAATCGCGATTAAAAAACAGGGGTTGATCGTAGAAGGGTGAAAATTTGAAGTGTTATGTATTTTTCAATGCTAAATCATCTATACAAATAAATAAAATTGAAGTCTGTTTGTAATATCAAAATAACAGCTTTTTACTAAATACATATGAAAGTAATGATTTCTTATATTTACGCAAACACTACACATTGAACAAAACTACTTTTACGGATTAATACATATGATACAAACCGATACTTAAACGGTGAATCCCACCATCACCCTTCACAGTTAGCTACCGTGGGCAAATCTTTGTTGCAGAGAGCACGAGGTATCTGTGACAGCAAACACCTGGCCACCGAGCTTCAGCACGTCAAGCAGGTTCTTCACGACAACAAGCTTCAGGTTCCGCGCCTACGTCACAGTGATCGAGTGAAGCCGGCCACAGTCGAGCGTGTGCCTGCTGTACTACCATATGTCAGAGGTGTCACAGACAAGATTGGCTACATCTTGAAGCGAGCTTCTATTAGAACATTCTTCAAGCCACCGAAGAAGATTAGTCAGTTCTTACCGTCTGTCAAGTGCAATATTCCTCTAAAAGATGCAGGAGTATACAAGCTTGATTGTGAGTGTGGTCTCTCATATATAGGGCAAACAAAACGATCAATAAAAACCCGCGTAAAAGAACATATAGCTGACGTGAAGCACCAACGTTCCGGGAAGTCTGCAGTTTGTGATCATATCCTAGATGGCCCCCGCCATTACATTAGATTTGATAAACCACAAGTTCTCGCGAAAGAACATCGATTCCTGCCAAGGATGATACGTGAGGCTATTGAAATTAAAAAACATCCTAATTTCAATAGAGAGGGAGGCTGGGTACTACCACCTGCTTGGGATCCTGTAATTTATAAAATTAAAACTAATCCCAAGCATACCACTGCAAGACTTCAAGACACAGTTAGTTCATTCTGTGTAGATCGGACCAAAATTAATAATTAGAAAGCTGAAGGTACTCCGGGTTAACTTTGACATCAGCACGTCATTCACCTCAGTCCCTCGTGACCACGGTTGCTGGAAAGTAACTGAAACGTCGGGAATATAAAATAACTTAATTAAACGCGATAAAATCCGTAAAAGTAGTTTTATTCAATACATATGAAGGTGTATACAGTACTTATAACAAAAAGACAATTTTTTAAATTTTTGTCTGTCTGTCTGTCTACCTGTCTGTTTGTTCCAATTAATCTCCGAAATGGATGGACCGATTTTGATGGAACTTCCACTTGCAGATAGCTGGTGTTATAAGGAGTAACTTAGGCTACTTTTATTTTAGAAAAATAATAGGTGAGCTATTTAATATCTCTTCCCTGTCTTGTACGATGTTAAGATTTGTGAGCTATGAGCTTATGGCTTAACACTTTCACTGTCCAATTTTCAGATACAATAGTAAGACAATAGCAATGAACTTTATGCAGTACACGGGACAGCAAATAGGTTAATTTATCATTAAGCTCAGTGGCTCAAGTGTATTTTGAATCAGCTTCATGCTGAATTACACACTTCTAATCATCAGTGACTAATATAGCATGCTTGGATCATTTTAATATTTTAGTATACACTTGAGATAAAAAAATACAATTATATTTATAAAGTGATGACATAGTATGAAAGTATAATTTTTATTTATAAGGCTTAAAATCGAGAAAGTGACAATAATAATAAGGCTGTGTCATTGCACAACTTTGAACAGTAAGAAACACACACAGAAACTTACAGTACCTTGATGCAATATATTAAAGATTAGGTTTTGAGCACCGAAACCGCGACAAATAATTTAAATCTTAAAATTGTTGATCTCACAAAGATACGTCATTCATTATTTAAAATATAAAAGCAAAAAGGATACAATCTGATAACTTGATGTGATCCTTGAATACAGTGTACCATTTCTTTAAGACAATTTTATCATGCCTTGTTCCAGTTTGTGCCGCTATCAATTTCTTCAAATCACCTACAGTATCGTCTGGATTACACTTCACTCTAACTTTCTTACCCAAACGATCATTACATGTAACTTCTAGCATTTTCTGAAACAATTAGTTACTTTGCAATTAGGTTATTTTGTTCATAACTAATTTCAATGATACAGAAACATACTTAGCTGTTTTTATATTTGCTATTACATATAAAACAATTGTTATACTATTTGACTAGATACTGCTTCTAAAGGTAAAGTTTGCAACAAAGAGTATAGTAACTGTCCTATACAGGAAAACTGTCCTGGATCCTGGTTTACAAGGTGTTTACTGTTTAGTGTTTACCAGTGATGCTGATGTTTCATGTTTCTCCAGTATCACAGAGTACTTTTATATATACTGAAATCCAGTATCCAGTATTTCCCTACCCTATATATAATGTACTCCGTGTCCAGTATTTGCCAGTATTAAATATTAGTCTATGGTGATGTTTACCTCTATAGATAATACACTTTTATATATATAACTGGCTTTACGGCTCTGGGTTCTAGCTCTTCTGAGCCTGAAATTACAATATATAATTATCCTCCATAGTACACTGCTTCACAATATGTTGATGCGTCGTATTGTGCAGCCCTTGGAAGAAATTGCAAACACAGCCCTTGTTAAAATGACAGCAACTTGAACCAGCAAATACCTGACAGTTAGCGATGGTATCTCAAGGCGCCTAAGCACTAAGCAGACAGACAACTTATCTTGAGAATCACATCACAATCAGAACACTTGTTTCACCGTTTCCACTAATAGTTTACATGCGCAGACACTTATATACAAAATTGCGCCACTTTAACATATCAAAATCCACTGCAAACCATTATTTAAACAATGATACAGAGGCAGTAATTCGCCGCCGGTCAAGTTCCCGCCAAAAAACTCCGATAATATACTTTATAGGGCATTTCACAGACTAACTAGTAGATTCTAACTTAATGGGCATTTACCTCCGCTATATAATATATAATTTATAGGAGTAAACGAGTAAAGCTTCGGTCACACACACCAGTGACTATTCGCTGCGAGTTTCGCTGCGAATACCGATTTTTTTTTAATAGGATAAGGGTGACAAACGAGCATCTGATGGTAAGTGGTAGTAGGGTAATGTTGGGGTTGCTACATCGCGATGCAGTTCGCCCCAATGTTACATTAAACAACTCTACATTTCCATACACGATGCGCGACGGCGTGGGATTCAATAATCTGATTCTCGCTGAGATAGCTGGTTACTCTAAAACACGTATGGACGCAGCGCTCATGTTATTGTATTTGATCTCGATCGATTCGCCGCTGTGTAATTGTTTGAACTATTTTCAAGTTGTAATTATATTCATATTATCATTTCGAGTTAATGTTGATAATATTATATATTATCATATTAATTTAACCCATATCATGCAAAGTAAACGACAAACTATTAAAAATTGAACTCGTTTTAATAAATTAATTAACAATATATGTACTCCAAATAAACAATAATTAAATACCTACTGATCATTCTACCTATGCATAATCTATTACCGTAAAACTGTTTACGACGCATGCGCAACGACATAGAGTAGCGCACAGTTTTTGTTTGAAAAAGCTGTTTTAGTACGTAAGTACATTATACTTCAATGATTTTTTAGCGACATATTCAAATTAAGTGACAGCGATATTTTAAAACATTGTTCTGTTCTTGAAGAACGACTGACAGATCAGGATAATAAGTATATAGACTCCGATGATTTGTTTAAAGAAATTAAAGCGTTAAAGTTATTTTCATTACCTAATGATACTGACATTTTAAGTATTTTACAATATATATTTGAAAACAATTTAATCTCCACCTTTCCAAGCGTAAGCATTTCACTAAGAATTCTTCTGATATTACCTGTATCTGTAGGTTCTGGCGAGCGATCTTTTTCAAAGTTAAAAATAATTAAAAAATATTTAAGATCGACAATGCTTTAAGCAAGATTGTCTGGACTAGCGATATTAGCAATTGAACAAGAAATTTTTGATGGTATAAATTTTAGCGATGTAATTAATGAATTTGCAGTAAGTAGCAAAGTCTCAGAAAATATCGCTGCTATAATAGCTATTTTGTATTTTTCTATTGTACATAGCTATCATTTTTAATTTTATAACGAAGTTACCTAGGTACATAGAACTATTACGCATATAATACTAGTACGCGCACCGAAAGTGAAGCAAGTAAAACTAACGCGAAACCTCGTTAGTTGACTTAGCGACGCGTCAGTGCGCAACGTCACGTCTTTCGGAGAAGAGCTCGCGAAGAATTGTAAAAATTACCGTTTGTGTTGTATAATATTGTCACAACGGTGATGATAAACATAAAAGAAGTGATGGTATTACATTTCACATATAAGTTTATACATTTAATTCATTATACGTACGTAAAACTAAAAAAATACTTACCTAAGCTCTCATAATACAAATGTTGCTAGTTGTGGGGAAAAATCACAATTTTCTTTTAAAAATATTTATTTATTTGTGTTTAAAACGTTTAATCGCAACGCTCTATGTAATACTCAAATGTTTATATATAGATACCTACTTCTCTAAGTGTTAACATTATATTAACAATGGGTGCCTATTTAAAACTAATACGGAGTGATCAGCTAATCACGACGCCATTTTAATGCAACTATATTATTTTAATTGCTTTGTTTATTGACTAAGGCTAAGTTTTAGAGTATAGAGTTTTTATTTACAACATCAAGATATTATTAATAAGAACGCCCAAACATTAACCAGGTGTTACGTAAGACCCAAACATAGCCTATTTTAACCGAATCCCAAAAAGAAAGGTTATCAATATGTATGTACACTGATTTCTAAGCTTGATAAATTCGTATATACCTACTTGCTGAAATTTCAGTGGTTGTTGTCCCGCAGCCAAATTATACTGTCTCAATAGTAGAGTCAATTTATTAAATAGAAAAATATTACAATTAAAAAAGGGCAGATTTACAATAGTAATACCTCACAAGCTAGTCGGGCGTCCAGACTAGTTTATGTCGTATCACTACGCTTGAGAGTTCATGTTATGAATATTTATTAGTGGCCCTTCACTGTGTAGGAAGCACGCGGTAGCGCGTGCGATAAACGTAACACAACATTACGTCCAGTGAATTTTTTTTCAGACTTTATTATAGTAATTCAGTATAAGCTAGCCTGCACGCCCGACCTACTTGCGAGATATTGCTATTGGTTTGTGATGGCATTCGAGTTTTGTTTTTTTGATTGTAAATCTGCCATTTTTGCATCCTAATAATTTTTATTTTAATCAATCTATTGTACTACTAAGGCAATATAGCGTTTATATTGGATCAATCTGTGTGTATATCCTTTCAAATAAAAAAAATCTAAATTGGTGTATATTATTCGAGCAAATTAATTGTGTTTAATAATATTCTTAAATTTTATTACGTCTGAATTTTTGTACCACTAATATATGTATAATAAAGTTATATTAGTACCATCATTATCGTGTTTATTTTATTCCATTTTATATTCTCATAAAATACATCTTCATACGTTATATGTAATCTTTATTATATCGATTTTTTAAAATTAATCAAAAAATAGTGATTTGCACAATTTGATTGCAAACGCCAGAGACTGGTATCACTGAATGGCGTGTATGTTTGCGTGTGACGAGCGTAGGCACATTCGACTCGCGTCAACTAACATAATGACCTTGCATCATTTTAACGCTCGTGTTTTGTACTAAACTGCGTTTCTATGCGTAATAATTCTATGCCTAGGTATTTTTTATCAGAAGTATCTGCATAGCATATTGCATATTTTTTAAAATATCTAAGTATTAGTAGAAAGTAGTAATATGTAGACATTAGGCAATATTTATGTTATTTGTTACTAAAAAAGATGTGATTTTTAGTTTTGGGTTATTTTATAGTATTTATAAACAACGTGTCTGTACCCCATTAGTTAAGTAAATGCTTTAAAATGGGTATGAACAAGAATTTATTTTAATTTATTTTGTTATGATTTTATTCTGTTTGTTTATGATTTTATTCTGTTTGTTTCATTTTAATATTTAAGTCGACAAATAAATATGACTTCTAAAGTTCAGTTTTTTGCTTTATATCAAGCACTAACCTACCTTAAATAAATAAATAAAAAAAAACATGATCCAAAATGCTTTAAGGGGCGCCAAAATCCTTTTTTGCACACAGGCGCCAGTAGCCCTTACGGGGGCCCTGGCGGTCGCGTAGCTCGCCGCCCGCTCGGTGCGTAAAATACCTAATTTTGCGTAACGCCGAAATGTAAGAGGTCTCTTAGTAAATAATAATTAAATTCACTATAAGGTCATTTAATAATATTGTTACGAGCTTGCGGGTTCGTGACAATTAAAACTGCCGACTGAATAACCAAAATTGACACTTTAATTACACAACACTAATTACAATCTAAAACCACACAATTATAAAACACAATTGTCACTTTGGTTCGCAATTATTTCGCTTCGATGTATTCTCTTGTATCGCCAATTCAATACTGCCTCGGTCGTGGTCTATACCGGCCTTATATAGGGCCTCAGATAGTTACTAGAACCTTCTACTGTAGCGACATCTAGAATGTTCGAGTACATATCGGTCTCGAAATTTCTGGAAGGATCTTGACTCTCCTAGTTCTGCTACTTGACACTAGAGGGCGTTCGTGTAACTAGTGTTGCCATGTACAAGACATTAATAGCGGCGCGCAACAATATCATGGATATAATATTTTGAACAATTAAAATGCGTTAATTATCATTGAGCTAAAGTAAATTAATTTCGAATATACCTACGTTTTATAGTATAGGAAAGGCTTAATATTGTCTTTAAATTTATTAACATTGTGCTTAAAATATTCAAAATGTATTAAACAATAGAAATAAATGTCAACCACATTACAATATTAAAGAAAAATAACATTTGTAATATAATTGAAAAATGGGTCAAAATTTTTCTTTGTTCTTTTTTTGTAAATGTTATATTTATTTTATAATTAAATAGACATATCATGCATGCAACATGCAAAAAAATCAAACATGTGCTGTTGTCGTCCAGTAATAAAATTTTAGCCCTTACTCCATCACTCCATGCAAAACATGACAATATATCGATATTTGTCAAGCGATATATATATTGATACCGTTTAAAAATACATTCAAATTTATTTAAAGGTATGCCACATCACTCCCCTGCCGAGACCGTTTCACGGGCGATAGTAATATGGGAAGCGCACTACTCTTCCGCTATTTGTTTTCTTCAGAGTATTTTCACTTTGACCCATTGTGGTGGCCTGGGCTTCCTTTTCTGTAGGTATTTTTGCCTCTGGATAAACAGGTGATCCACTGCTGTGAAGGTAAGCAGGTTTGAGTCAGTCTATAGTAACCGTACTTTCTGTACCTTTGACCATCAATTTGAAGGTCTTAGGACCCCTTTACAGGACTTTATATGGGCCTGAATAAGGAGTTTCCAATGATGGTGTAACTGGTCCCTGAAGCAAGAAAACGTATTCTGCCGTCTGAAGATCTTTAGGGATGTAGAAGGTTTTGGTTCCGTGCCACGTAGCTGGGCGAGGTGTTAAATTAGCCATGTGACGTTGAAGGCGAGATGCAAAATCCTTGATGTCAGCGGTGAAGTCTGGTGAGGGAACGAAGAACTCCGCTGGTAGTCGTAAAGGTTTTCCGTATACCAATTCTGCGGTTGATGTTTTGAGGTCCTCTTTCCAGGCGCTTCTTATACCTAGTAGCACTAATGGAAGGATTTCTGTCCACTGCGGGTTATTGTGGCACCTAATTGCAGTTTTTATCTGCCGATGTAGCCTTTCTACCATACCGTTACTTTGTGAGTGGTATGAAGTAGTTGTAGTCACCTTGGCACCGATAAGAGATGCAACGGCCTGGAATAATTTGGATTCGAACTACCTTCCCCGGTCTGTGGTGATCTTCTGTGGGCATCTGAAACGGGCTACCCAGCCGCTGATGAATGTTTTGGCGCATGTTTCCGCCGTAATTTCTTCTAATGGGTAGGCCTCAGGCCATCGAGTACATCTGTCGATGACGGTGAGACAGTACCTAGAATTAGAAGAAAGCGGTAACGGCCCTAGTATATCCATGTGGATATGGGAGAAACGTTGTGATGGAGTAGGGAAAGTGGAGTAAGGTGAAGAGGTATGGCGGTTGATTTTGCTGCGTTGGCAATCTGTGCATTGTTTCGTCCATTCGTTGCAGTCTCGCCGAACACCGGGTCACACGAATCTTTCGGAGACGAGTTTTGCTGTGGTTGAAGCTCCGGGATGACTAAGGTTGTGCATTTGGGAGAAGACTTGTCTTCTGAATCGTGGAGTAATATATGGCCTCGGAGTATGTGTAGATATATCACAATATATCGTAGCTTCGGGTGACTTGATCTTTTCTAATCGAAGCGTTGTTCCCTTGTTAATTAGATCCTGCAGTTCAGGGTCTGAGTTCTGATCGTTTGCAAGATCTTCATAATTAAGTATTTCAGATATAGTCTCAATTCGTGACAACGCATCAGCAACAGTGTTATCACAGCCTGACACGTGCTTGATCTCCGTGGTAAATTGAGATATGAAGCTTAAGTATCGGTGTTGGCGTGGAGAAAAGTTGTCTCTTTTTGTGACAAATGCAAAGGTAATTGGTTTGTGGTCGGTGTACACCGTAAAATGCCTGGCTTCGACCATAAAACGGAAGTATTTGATAGATTCGTATATTGCCAGTAGTTCTCTGTCATATGGACTGTATTTCTTCTGTGCTGACGTAAGTTTTCGGGAGAAAAACGCTAGAGTTTCCCAGCAGTTTTTCACTTTTTGCTGTAGGACGGCTCCTATGGCTTTAACAGATGCGTCAGTGTAAAGTGATAATTCTGCGTGAGGATTTGGATGTGGTAGCATGGTGGCATCAGACAGTGAGGATTTACAATCTTCGAATGCCTTCAGCATCTCGGGGGTCATGATAACAGGTTTGGAGCCTTTAATATTTCTGCCACATAATGCATCAAGAAGAGGAGCTTGAGTACTTGCTGCATCCTTCAAACACCTACAGTAATAGTTCAGCATACCGAGGAATCTTCGGAGTTCTCTAGTTGTTTTGGGTAATGGAAATTCTTTGATCGCTACTACCTTCGTCTCCATTGGACAAGTTTCCTGCACTGAAATGTGGTAACCCAAAAAGTCTACTTCTTTGACACCTAGTATACTTTTAGAAGTATTTATGAGTACTCCGTACTTTTTGAGTCGGCGGAAAAGTGTCTTGAGGTGTTCCATGTGCTCTTCTTCCGAATGAGAGAATATTAATATGTCATCAAGATATCCAAATGTGAAATCTAATCCTTGAAACACCTCATCTATGAATCTTTGGAACGTCTGAGCTGCGTTCCTAAGGCCAAACATCATAAATGGGAACTCGAACAATCCAAACGGAGTCGTGATCGCTGTCTTTTCAATATCACTCTCAACTACGGGAATCTGGTTGTAAGCCTTCACTAGATCTAATTTGCTGAATATATTACAACCAGCTAGCTGATGAGCAAAATGTTTCTGAGTGGGTAGGGATCCGGGATGGTTCGTGCGTTTAACGATCGGTAATCACCACAAGGCCTCCAGCCGTCGTCTTTATTGCGCACTAAATGTAGTGCTGAAGACCAAGAGCTTTCGAGCGTCATGCTGTGCCGATCTTCAACATTCCCTCGAATTCCTTTTTAGCTATAAGGAAGACTCCTTCAGGAGGAGCAGGATCAGGAGCTAAACGACGAGGTCGTGCTGCTACTGGAGATCCTGGACTAACGCGAATGTGATGTTTGGTATTGTGTTTGGGTTCTGACGTCGTCCCAGCCGGTTTCGTTATGGTAGGGTATTGGCGAAGTAATTCGTGATACTTTAAACTACCATTAACAGTTTTGATGGCTTCTATTTGGTTGGTTTTGTAGTGAGGCACTGTTATTGAGAGACTTGTGAGGCCGTCGATTAGTCTATGATGCCGGCAGTCGACTAATAAATCGTAATGACTAGAAAGTCAACTCCGATGATGACTTTGGAGACATCTGCCACGATAAATTTCCAAGTGAAATCCCGACGAAGTCCAAAGTCCAAATGAAGTTGTAGGTGTAGCCGTAAGTGGAAATGGCGCTACCATTAGCTGCGAAAAGTTCGTATTTGCACTTTTTTAATGGACCCTTCATCATGGTCCGTGGAAAAACACATAAGTCGGAACCTGTGTCGATGAGGTAATTAATTTTACTTTTTCTATCTGTGATGAAAAGACGGCCGTTACAAGTCTGGCAGTCATTCGCCGCCACTAATGGCTGCCCTGGTCTTTTCCCGACACAAAATTACAGGTTGTTGTGCATTTTGTTGATATAACACCGAATTTCCTGTGGTACCAACATATGCCGCTATCTGAGCGCGACCGAGATCGTGAACGGAACCTAAATCGCCTATTGCGTGACGAGGATCTGTTTAGCCCGTTTATCTGTGTTGTTAAAGCAGAAACTATTTCGTTAACTTCGCGATCTGAATGGCCATTGCTTCCATAGCAGCGTACGGTGTAGGAATTTGTTGCGGTGGGCAGGAAGATGTCGATGGAGAAACTTCGTTCAAGTGTCCTCGAGGCAAGATGTCATTTATTTTGTCAGCTAATTCAGACAATTTATCTAAGGGCGTCTCAGCATTTGATGCATTAATGGCCTGCATATTTTGAGGCAGTCTACTCAACCAAATTGTGCGTTTAAAATTTTCGGGAACACTAGGACCTGCTAGATGTATAAGATGACGCAAAAATTGTGACGGTTTGCGACTTCCGAGTTCCTCGTGCATTAAAAACTGTTTTACCTTCTTTTCCTGGGATGCGGAAAGTCGACGAATCAATTCAGATTTAAGAGTTTCATATTTATTTTCTCTAGGCGGGTTGATAATGACATCCTCGACTTCAGCTGCGTATTCGTGATCGAGCTGGTATACAATATAATAAAATTTTGTGGTGTCACTTGTAATATTCGATAACATAAATTGTCCCTCTATTTGAGTGAACCATAGTGCTGGTCTGTCAGGCCAAAACGGAGGTGGTCGAACACCTACTCTAAGCGAATTAGATTTAATTTCTCCACTAGTGGCGTCATCGAAATTTTCACTTTTGACGTTCTGCGTCAGAGGCGTCGTTAAATTTTATTCCCCATGGTTCCGGTAGGTTTTTTTTCTCAAATGTCGGAAGGTCACTAGTATAACTGCAAGTTGTACTTACAAGTTATAATAATAATATGTTGACTCCAATAAGAAACACCCCGAGTTAATAAAGTTATTGTTTATTGCATACATAGTTATATCACATATAGCAGTCTCATTCAGTACCCGAATTTTATAATAGTTTTTATTTATACACACTACACTATACAATTTAAACAAAGTACGCGAATATTTTTATATACTACACTCCATTTATTTACAATATTTCGCGGAGTAATATTTGGCGAGCGTGGCGCGAGCTACCGCAGCGAATGCATCTCATTACTAATTCAATGTCTAATGCACTTGACCTGTGAAGCGGGCACAATAGAAAAAATATTGTTAACAATTTAACGAACATTTCATACGGGGAATTTCGTATGTAGAATTTCTTAAGATTTAATAATTAAATTTTACATTGTTTTAGTTGCTGAATTAATACAGAAATACTTATTATAATTTATATGATTTAGTTAATATATAATATTTGAAAATGTGATTTTATAGACAAAAATTTATTCATTTTTATTATACAATGTTAACATTCAAATTTATTTAAAGGTGGTATGCCACACCCATTCCCATGACTGAGTAAGGCCGTAAAATCAGTGCAGTGTAATAACTGACGTCTCTAACTCCCTGAAAAGTTGAAATTAGATATACAAAATTTTGAAATGTTAAAAAAATAGTAACCAATATTTAAAGCGTATACTTTTATTATAACTGTGTTTTTAAATAAAACTAAATTAGATATAGATACCAAAATTAGAACTTTCAAGGTAAGGAGTTGATTAATAAAGGTCGAAGTATCATTAAGATAACTAGCGGAAAATAAATTGTTCATATGTTCCTATTCTTGACCAGAATCCTCTACATGCGGTCTACAGTCTGTGAATTGTATAGATCGTAGACATAATATCAGAGTCTAATACGATGCTTATGCATAATATATTACTATAACATAAACTAATACAATGCTTACTAGCGCATGGTATAATAAAGATATATTGTATTATATCTGTGGTAATGTCTAAGCCCAGAAGTAAAGTCGGCCACATACATAAGGAATTCCGTTTCGGAATCCCGAATCGGGATTCCGTGAATACATCACACACATACGTTTATTTCCGTTCGGAATAACAAGGTTCAGTTGGAAGATGTTAGACATTGAGTCTAGACATTCTGCCAGCGAATAATGGCGAAGATTTTCTGATTGCGATTCCATTGTTGCTTTATCATTGTTACTGGGTGCATCCCCTTATCACCCTAAATTGCAGTATATTCAATATTATAGAAAAAGATCTATCTATTCAAAGATATTATTTTAAATATGGATGTTTGTAAACCCTTTCGACGAATTATTAAACAAAATAAGATGAAAGGTTACGAAAAGCTATACACATATAAGATTAAATGTACAAACGTACATAAACACACCAACTCGCTTCGGTCGTGCGATGAACACTGAGCATGAGCACGTTCCGTACGGAATTTACGAATGTGTGTTGCGCCTCATACAAAATCTATGGAAGACTTCGTTCGGAGCGGCTTTTTTACGTACCGGATTCCGAACGCACGGGCGGTCATACGGAATCTCGAATCGGAGAAAATTCCGTACAGAAAATTACCGTTCATGTGTGGCGGGTCTTTCATTTTATATGGACTTGCTGTATTCGGAATTTCGAATCGGAATATCGAAAAAGATTCCCGAAACGGAATTCCGTATGTATGTGGCCGGCCTAATAGTGTTCTGTTGTCTAAACGCTGCCTAGATTTTTTTTAACTCTTAACTTTAAGTTTTTATGTTTGTGTCACTGTAGCAACTTGTTATCAGCGATAATTTGCTGTCAATATTTTGTGCAAAGTTTTCAGAACTTAATACGTGAAACTAAACTGTATGTACATATATCTCTTTGCATACAAACATTTAAAAGTAAATAATATAACATAAACATCCGGGTTTCTATTCATTAGGAATAATTGTAATGTTATTTTAATAATAAAATTGCTATGGATTTTATGGAATAAAACTTAGTTTTGGTTTTTAAAATTATTATTTTATATTGTTGTTGTATATATACCAATATTTATTTTTATAAGCACTTAGTTGAACAGGAAGTATATCCAACTATCCACACGTCACTCGAGATCTGACTACGAGTTCAACGACAGTGAAATTTCGTTATTTAGTGATAGTGCTAGTGAGTTTGTAGTGAAAATGCAAATTCCTAATGAATATGTGTCTACTGCTGAAGATGTTGCAGATCAGGTAAATTTTTATTATCTTATTAATTAAGAAACTATGCAAATAGGTACACTAAATTTGAAAATATACTTCGTCTTAGATTTGTCACGTCACCCAACTTACATATTAATTGGCACTACGTGCATTTATATTCATTATAAAATATACTATTAAAATAATGCCTATAAAATTATCCCCTTAGCCGATGCTATGACTTCCTTTAAGTATATTTTTCTTTTTATTTATTACATACAGTATGTAATTTTATGTTTATTCTTATTTGTTTTTTATGATTCTAGTTACATACTAGCAGCACACATTTTTTGGTCTTCATTTTTTTACCAGTAAATTATGAGTGACTCATTTTACCTCACGATTAAATTTGTTGAATAAGTAGCATGCTGAAACTATTAAAAGTTTGTTGAAGCAATACATGTTTAATAAATCTGGTAAAAGTAAATGTTCAGTAATTTTTATTTAATTTGTGCTTATTTTGATATCTAAAGGAAAAAATTAATATTTAGTACAGATACCTAGTAAGATTGGATTTTTGTTTTTGAGTATTTAATTCTTAATCTCTTCTTTATTATTGGTATGTAATACAATGTTATTTTTGCTTACAACAGTGAAACACAATCACAATCTTACTATCATTTCCTGCCTTTCTATTTCAGCACTTTCCCAATCATAAATTTAATTATTTTTATATGTAAATGATGCATAGTTTGTGCAAATGTATAATATTATTAAAAATATAAAAATATTATTATCTGGTCTACCAAAAGAATTGTTATTGTATTTAATGGATATTTTAAACATTTATATTTGCAAGATTTTTAATGTTGTTTATGAAATATCAGTTTTATAATTATTTGAGTGACTGTTTCACTTATTTTTACATCATTAATTTATTTAGCTCGTGTAATTTTCAATAGAGGTTGTTTTAATACTTTAATTTTTATGAATTACATTTTCACAATACCACATGAAAAGACAACAACAATTCTAGTCACCAATTGTGGTTATTAAAAGATGTCTACAAAAGTAAAATTGTTCGAATATATTATTACAATTATTGATATAAATATCTTCAAAAATTAAATCTGTTTTTGTTTAGGATTTTTATGTTTTTGTGTTTATTATTAAATGCTTTTTACTATGGATGTTAAATAAATTTTTATTTTTACATGTAACTTTTTAATTTATAGGTACCTATATTAATCTGCCTTATTTGATTTAAACTAAAATCACCAAAACTTGATCAGCTGTTAAAATCAAATCTTTAAAAATTCTTACAAATGGTAGCAATATATTTAAATAGATGCCTTCTTTAAATTAGATTGTACTTAAATTTCTGTTTATTATCATAAAGACTTGCCACACATTTATTTAAAATGAAATGTCTTAGTAATAAACATAAAGTATAAACATTAACACAGCAGTGGGGGTAGAAGGAAATAGGGTGATATCAATAGACTCCTAGAAAAGAAGCCCTGTTACCTATTACTAACTGGCTGTACCCTGCGACTTTGCCTGCATGTAATTTTGGGTTTTATTTTTGTTGTGTGGAACCCTAATTATTTTTCTAAAATATAAGTAGCTTAAGTTACTCCTTATAACATCAGCTATCTACCAGTGAAAGTCCCGTCAAAATTGGTCCAGCTGTTTCAGAGATTAGCCAGAACAAACAAACAGACAGACAAAAATTTTAAAAATTGTGTTTTTGTTATAGGTACCGTATATACTTTTATATGTAATTAGTAAAAAGCTGTTATTTTGGCATTACCTGCAGACTTCCAAAAAGGAGACGGTACTCAATTTGACTGTATGTTTTTGTTTGTTTCTTACCTCATAATTCTTTACTAGGTGAACCGATTTTGATGATTCTTTTTTTATTTGAAAGCTCATACTTCTCGTGTAATCCCATATAAACTTGATCAAGGTCAGACCACTAGTTATTAAGTAATTCTTAATAACTTATATTGAATTTGGCTGTACAAAATTTTTAATTTTTAATTATTAATATTGTATTATAAAAGTTGCAGCCTATTTACGTCCCACTGCTGAGCACAGGCCTCCTCTCATTTTTGAGAGAGTTTTATGGCAAGGAAATATCTTCCGCGCTGCCCCAATGCGTGTTGGTGAACTTCACATGTCTTCGAAATATTTTTTTTTCTTATTTCTCAGACATGCAGGTTTCCTCAGGAGAGAATTAATTGATGATTAATGTAAATGGTAAAAGTAGATATTCAATTTTAAGCAGATGGATTTATGATAAAAAAATTCTGTGGACTCCTTATCTTATTATTACGTAAGTTTTCAATATGTTATAAACATTTATTGCTGTTTAGATATGTATGTAATTGTGTTAGAGATAAGCTACTATCTAAAGTCTACTGAAAAATCAACTTATTGTGTTGTAATACTGACTAATCAAAATACTTCCAATTGTTACCATTGTTATGGTTTAAGAATGTTTTATTTTGTAAAGCTCTTAATTTAAAATGTAATGAAAGATGAATTTTAATACACTACAATACTTAACAATGCAGAATATTAAAGATTATATTAGTACTTTTGATTCTTATGTTTGTTTTATTGATGCTAGACTATCATTCTACTGTCAAACTCCAAACATTTTTCTGTATATCTGAGAATTCATTCAATCCTTTGTAAAACATAAAATTTGTGCATGCTGATAATTCAGGTATTACAAAAGTGCACATCTCAAATGCTAATGTTGTATACACTAGTCATCAAAAAATCGGCCCATCTGCATTTTTACTGCAAATCACGTTTTCTTAAGCAAAACCAAACAAAATGTTTTAGTACTGAAATATTTTACGTAACTTGTTTATTTACACCAATTTAATCACAGTTAAAACATCAAAATGGTTTTTTGCAAGTCATTTTAATTTAAAGATCAAAATCCTTAATTTTACATAATTTTTTGATTAATTTTAAACACTCTAATTTTTATGTGTTAAATGTTATGTACACAATTGTTGCAATTTAATATTGCGTATTCCCTCCTCTTACTTAAATGATGACCTGCATTCGCCGTTTTAATAACCATGTCAAGATTTTGATGGTGCCTTGAGGGATTTGGTTCCATTCTTCCCTAATGGTGGTTTCAAAGTTTCCTAATGTTTTAGGGACTAGATTATGAGCTTTTGTTTTAAGTGTTTTACATGTGCTCTATAGGGCTGATATCTGGGCTTCTTGCTATAATACATATATTACACTAAACAGACCAATTGACCCCCAACAAAAATTATTTCCATCAACTGTTTGTAAATAATAGTTAGCGCACACACACGCACACGCATACATGAGTACAACAAATAAAGACTTCGGCTCAAATCCACATTGTATTTTTACACACACAACATGTCATACACAACACGCATAAAATACGAACAAATAAACATTAATTTTTATATATTAGATAGGATCCCATTTGATATTTCAATACTTAAATAATCCTTGGAAGGAATCGGTGTTCTTTAGCGAGGATTTGTGGTCTATCTTTTATAGGTGTTTAATAATTATGTTTTCTTTCTTTAGGTGATCCGTAAAGGTAAAAATGTATTACCGACGGTGGCTCGCCTCTGTCTCATCTCCACGTTTCTCGAAGATGGTCTCCGGATGTGGTTCCAGTGGTCTGAACAGAGGGATTACATGGACATCTCGTGGGGATGCGGAAAGTTCCTTGCTACAATGTTTGTTGTAAGTTCTTTCAATATGATTATGGTTTTTAAATATAATGTTTTAATTTATAAGTCTTGTATCAGCTTGGCAGGGACCATAAATATGACAGGATGAAAAAATTTACCATAATCGATATTTGGCCAACGGAACTGTAATCACCAGATGTCTTAAATGCTGCTTTTTTCACACTTTTTTACGTGGTAGAGCCATGCTGTAGCTATATTTCTGGTATAGTTGTAACACGAATGGGTCGGCTCGACCGGGGAAGGACCACGCTCTCACAGAATACCAGCGTAAAATAGCAGCTTAATGCTGCTGTGTTTCGTATGGTGAGTGTAGAGAACCGGAGACCCTTTTTACTGGAAACGAGGCATTCTATCTTAGTCCTCAGGGCTGACAACGCATCTGCATTTTAATTCGCAAACGAAGATGTCTATGGGCCACAGCAACCACTTACCATCAGGTGGACTGTATGCTCGTTTGTCACCCTTATCCTATAAAAAAAATCACTAGATTTTTTACACAAGCGAAACACGTCGAAGTCTAATAATATATATATCTAGTCTAATAATATAGTCTAATAATCTAATAAATAAATAAATATATAGAATAGCTCCGAACTACCACTCAAAGCGTTGGCCGCTCCCCGGGCAGAACACCTTGTCCGGCGGGAGATCTCCCCTTTTCCTTCCACCCGCCACAATAGCAATACCTGAGATAGTAATATTGCAAACTGTCGCAAACTACAAATTTTCTTTCTTAAATTAAGTAATGATAAAATTTCAGTGTATGAAAATATTAACTATCGTATTCGTTCTGTGGTTCCGGGAATCGAAAATAGTACCCGCCGACTGCCTGACTTTACAGCATGTATTAACTAGCTTCTGTGTGTAGCAGTGACGGCTCCGTGGCGCAGTGGCTTAGCAATGAGTTGCTGCGCTGGGGGGCGCGGGTTCGAATCCCGCACGGAACAAGTATTAGTATGGCCTACAAATAATTGTTCCGGGTCTGGATGTTTGTCCTTGTGCAATTTATGTTTGTAAACTGCCTCCACGATACAGGAGAAAATCCTAGTGTGGGGTAACGTTTTAAAAAAAGAAGAAAAAAAGAAGCTTCTTAGTTCAACAGTTACATTATATTTAAAAAGTTTCATCATCATCACAGCCCTTGACAAGTCCGCTGCTGAACATAGACCTCCCCCAAGGAATGTTTAGTTATTAATTCATTTAAATTGTTATTATTGTGTACAAGCTCGAAATATTGTTACTTAAAAATTACAAAAGCTTGATATTTGCACGTATGAAGTCGGTCACATACATTCGGAATCCCGTTTTTCCATCAAAATTTCGAACAGAAAACTACCGTGCGTGTGTATGTCCTTCATTTTATATGCATTTGCTACGTTCGGAATCCCGAATTGTGTGTATGTGGCCGGCCTCATAGTCTTTTCGGGACTTCGCTAAAACTGTAGATTTAAAAAACCCACATTATCAATGGTAAAAGTTCTTCTGGGTCACCTGTACGGTGTCCCTCAGGGCTCGATTCTCGGTCCATTCCTGTTTCTAGTGTATATTAATGACTTACCTTCCCTTGTAGGGGATAATCATGATATAATATTATTTGCTGATGATACTTTCTTTGTTTTTTAAACTTAAACGACAATCATTTAAATGTGACGAAGTGAATAATGCTATATCAGTATTAGTGCATTGGTTTAACGTTAATAATCTACATTTAAACGGAGATAAAACTAATTGTGTTAAATTTACAACCAAATTAGCAAGCATACTAAGTTCTGCAGCCTATGCTGTAAAAAAGATTATAGGTCTTACTAGTGTCGAGACAGCTAGATTAGAGTATTTCACTTATTTCCATAGCATAATGTCTTATGGGATTTTGCTATGGGGAAATGCGGCTGATTCAGATACTATTTTTGTTTTACAGAAGAGGGCCATTAGCGCTATTTACAATCTAAAACCTAGAGAGATATATTAACTTTGGCCTCAGTATATTTACAAAAATTTTATGTATGTTCACAAAAACAAAGTTAGTTTTAGTAAAAAAAGTGATAATATACATTCTGTAAACACTAGGAACAAACACAAGCTAGTGATACCAGGTTCTCGACTCCACTGAGTCAGTAATTCATTCTTTGGGCAATGTATACACTATTACAACAGGGTCCCGGAAACTGTACAGGTTCTCTCTATTACCAAGTTTAAATGTTTTGTTAAGCTGAAACAGTATAAAAAGGGTTATTATAGTATAAATGAATACATGGTTGATAATAACCCCTGGGAATGAGGTGGTCGCTTCCAAGCAGTTTCTAAAATAAATTTTGTAAATAGTTTGTAATCATTTATATTGTAAAATTTATTTAAAAAAACAGTTCCGCTGACTTTCTTGTTGGTTCTTCCCAGGACAGAGGGTTTTTTTATTTGAACCAGTGGTAAAGTAAAAAATGACTTTCAATTAGAATTACACATGTAATATATATTGAATAAAAATTATTCTATTCTATTCCACTTGAATTAACGAAAAAAACTCTCAGGCATTGCTCTCGCTAAATATTAGAATCCAGCAAATCAATGCTGAAATATACATATGTCTTGATAACGCTGGCAAACCATTTATTAATCGAATGGAAACAAATTTCATACACTATTCGAGGAGAAAGATTTTTCAATTAAATCTCGCTTTACGTTATTGTGATGACGCAAAACGATTCTATGAATGAGCAGCTTGTTAAGAATGTTTCATACCAATCCTATAAATGTTTGTTCTTGTTAATAATATCTTCTTATCCATCAACCTGAAAAAGTATTCTATGTAAGCATTATATGTGCACGAAATATATTGCTACTGTATGGGGCCGTTCATAAAATACGTTCGCATCTATAGGAGGGACGGGGTGTCGCTTAAGGCGCCTACTGACATGCTTGCCGCAGGGACAATCTGGGGAGCACAGCGATCGGAGCAATATCGGAGGTGTCTCTACACACACGCCTGCCGTTCAGTATGAGAGTGTACGTCTCGCTGGACGCACGCGTTGGGAATGGCGCCAGTTTTATCGAAATATCAATGAATCCGTATATATAGCCTAGGCTCTTTTCTATATAGAATAAGGGTGACAAATGAGCACAGTCCACCTGATGGTAAGTGGACACTGTGGCCCATATACACACACGTTCAAATGACGTTCGTTCTGCGGTTCTGACTTGTACTCATACGTGTGCTCCGCGCGAAAGTCGCAACGAACTGATTGAAATTGCCCCAATTGCGCTACACACTCGACAGCGGCAGGGCCAATCTAGGGAGCAAGGAAGGTCTTGCGCTCCTGCCGCCCTGCCGCAGGGCCGACTTAAAAAATTGCCCCTGCTTGCCTACACACATCACAATTAAGGAGGCAATTAAGGGTCATCCCCACTCCTACACCCTAGATTGCCCCTGCGGTAGGCACGTCAGTAGCCGCCTTTACTGTGACAATGACAAGATGTGACTTGTGGGGTTGGGGGGATCTAAGAAAACGTGACGTTCGCAGCTCATAAAACAATTTTGCAAATTATTCTCTCGGGTTTTTTACAATTTTATTTTTTGTTACGATAAAAAGTCATTTATGTGTCTATATATACAAATATTATTAATAATATAATTTAAGCAAGCAATAATTAATAAATTGTACTGTTATTAATTGCCATATTAGGTATCATGTACAGGGGGAACCCCCTGTACATGATATAATATAAAGGTAAAATTTTGCGTGACATATTTTATGAATGGCCCGTTTTCTTTTTTCTACTTGAATATTCGTGTAGTAACAGGCTACTTCTGGGCACAAGTCTCCTATCATTTCTGACAAGGTGAATTAGAACAGGAAAGAGTGCGTTGCGCTGCCGCAATGCTTGTTGATGGAATCCATATTTCTTCGAAATATTTTAATTTCGCATACACCTAGGTGTCATTACGGTGTTTTCCTTACCGCCAGGCACAAAACTGGCACTCAAAATTGTAATTAATAATTTCATTTATGCTGGCGGGGTCGAATTCAGGTTGCGTGTTTAAAAAAAAAAGGCTTGGGCGAGTGCCTACTCTCAGATTCTGTCATTACCGTATTACATACATACATTACCGTGCGAGACGAGTTAGTCAGTAGTTACGTGAACTGTTACCTCTAAGCTATTCGTTCTATAGGTATTGGACTCGTGGACAATAACAGAGTATAAAACGCATAAGAGATTTACTACAATGTATGCAAGACCTCAGCGGAAAGAACTTCTTGAGTAGCGTGCGTTAAAATATATGACAAGCGCCAAGCCCTTATACTAACAGTAATCTATGTATTGTAAAAAATAATCTTCAGTGGATGGAGATTGAGATGAAATCATTATTTTCTTATTAGAAACGAACTTAAGGCAAACGAGAAAACAGTCCACGCGGTGATAACTGGATGACGTAGTCTATATACACCTACATTTATATATGATTGTATGAATCAAAATGTAGATGCGTTGCACTCCGACCATTAAAAATGGTTGCATTTATGGTCGCCCTACACTCACTACCAGGCGTTCCTAAACTTCTAAGGTAATGGGACATTCCCCAAATCCTTTTTACTTCATGGAACCCAACATCAAATTATATTATATCATAGACAGTGCAGTCGAAATATTATAATATAACTCTCGCTAACTATCTACGTATCTATTTAACAGTAATGGATTCTTCTCATGAATTTTATGCAAATTCAAAAAAAAATTGTACCAAAGTGTGAAATTATTGTGGCTTTTCCACGGACTCCTTAGGCACAGTAAATATATAGTAGGAACAGTACGGAAACTTCCTACAAACGCTCGAAACGGCACACTCACACAAACATGCGCAACGACGAGACTTCTAAGCGCTCGTCGCGGTGCTCTCAGTAGCGAGTGTCGCGTCAAGAAATTTTAACAATGCCACGAACGTATTGCGTAGTATACGGCTGTTTGAACTCGGCTTCATCAAAACCGAAGCTATCTTAT